ACATTGTATGAGGAACCCCAATTTCTGGAGCTCCTACATTCTATACTGATGCAAATAAATCAAGAAAGGCAGATTATAAGTCAGGAAAAATAAAGTGGCTTAAAACCCTTATGATTCTGTTCAAAAGTCAATACTATTCTCACGGTACTATTAGATTTTCCAGAACCTCTCAGTATGCAGAAAGAGCTGTCCAGTGATGGAGCAAGCACACATCCTCAGGACAAACATGCGAACTCTAAACTGTGTGAAGCACAGTCATTGATCGAGCCCAGTGTCAGGCACGGCCAGTACCAGGCTGAAATAGTTATTTTCAATTTTTGTCAACAGCATCAGATATAAACACGTTCAGGGAAAGGTTACTAAACAAACAGTTGTTTCTGGCTATATTTAATCAAGGACAAATAAGTAGCTGACAGGGTTCATATATTGAAACAACTAGCACGAACAGGAAAACACACTGTGCAAGCTGTGGTAACGGGGCTTTCTAAAGCTCTTGATAAATAAAAGCATTTCCAAGACAATTCAATATAATCTATCACACCAAGTAGAGTTATTGACTGGTTCGGCATAGATACACAGACTGCTGATCTCCAAGGCTCTTGTTTCTTTCCCACCCCACCAGCCACGGACAAAGCCTCAGCTAATAAAGCGCTTTCCCCAGTGTCCAAGGGACTGTTGTAAAGTGCCCGTCACTGAGTGTCTTGCTCAACAACATTCAGACTGAAGTTTTTGAAGTTGGAGCAATCACTTTGAAGTAAATCACCCTTTCAAAGTTGGATGGAAAGGAGGTGGGGAATAGCTTTTAGGCTTTTCTTCCCTTAATGTGACTATTTCCACAGATGGCTCCCTATGAAAATTAATGAGCCGACTTGGTCTTACAGGAAATGCTGTTTAGAAAGGACAAAAATTACAGTCAGAGAGCAGACCAGGCCCTGCGATCCAAGCGCAGAACTGTAATGGATATGCTGCAGAGGCTACCAACTTAGATGCTCACGTCACCTTCATGGTGGTGTTAGACAAAATTGCTTTCTGAACATCACGAGAAAAGGTAATCAGGAGAAATCTACAATGTCTTTTAAAGCCAAATTAAACAGATATAAAAATGTATGAGTTTATCACACTATGAGAATAAGGCAGGGGCTGGAGCATATTCCCTGGGCCAGTATGACACCAGAGTGACACTTACTCCTTGCCTGGGAAAGAAAGCCAATCAAGATATAGTCCTGTCCTGAAAACACAAGCCACGAGGCCATTTTAGGCAACACCAGGGAATTTAAAAATGGAGAACGGTATGTTGGATGATATTGTTATATTTCTCACAGGCATCAAAGAGCAGTTTCAGAAGTAGTTTTAGAAGCAGTTTCATGTTCCTCAGGGAACACGTTGGCAAAGACCAGTGAAGAGATAGTACAGACACCCCAATTCTGTCCGATCTAGGCACTGGGTGCAAGGCTGGGCACTGTAGTTTTTCTTTCAACTTCTCTGCACACTTGTATCACTTTCTTGAATTGAGACAGACTAAATAAACAATTACTTAACTATCGTGTTTTAGGGAGTGACAATATGTCTGGAATGGCATGACAGATCTAAAGACCTAGATCAATGGCACTTACTCCTAGTAGGAAGTTCTGAGGTGAAGGGGAGGGCTCAACAGAAGGAGGAGAAGGGCTGCGAAGGAAAACGCATCCAGAGAACGCTTCCAATACTGCGTTCCAGTGTGAGCATACCAAAGTGGCTCATGTCTAGTATGTAGATCAAAACAGACTGCTGCTCTCTCCTACCCTAGGACCAATGGATAAAGCTTTTGGTTAATAAAGTGCTTTCAGGTGTGTAGAGGTCAAATGTGTTTCCTTGGGGTCTAAGGCCAAACCTACACAAATTTCTGGAAAAATAATTTCCCTGAGAACGTACAATGGTGAGCTGACCAGAAGCATGGGCCTTACCAGGCATGAGGATTTCTGGCATCCCTCTAACCTGCTGATGGACTACAGCATAAGCAGCCCCCTGGGCTATCCAACCCAGGGGATTGGGGAGAGGGCAGCTCAGTCAGGACGCAAACATTGCTGTTACTCTGCTAGAATGACATCTTTACCCTCAGACAGGAAGTGTAGAAGCACTGACTGTGGTAACCCAAGGTTCAGCGCAAAACCCTCCTAAATTCACATGGGAAAGACTGGGTATAGGCTTGCAGTCACCTGTTGCTCCCAGTGAGGACCCCTTCTGCTTAGAGCTACATCTCACTTTGAAACCCCACTCAGAATGGGAAAGTCTAGTTCTGCATTTCAAATCCACTGAACAGTGCTATATATCAAGAAATAAAATAAAAAAAAAAAAAAAAAATAAATAAATCCAGCTCACTGATTTAATCTCTTCCTACCTTCTTAGAAAAGAGTAAGTCACCTAATATTCCTTACTAGTTTGGCAAGTTCAGCTCAGCGGTGATATCCACTTCTCTGCTTGTCAAGCAGAGATAATACACCCACAGAAGAAGGTTGCCAGCCCTACCCTAGAGCTGAGATAAGGTGAGCCGACCAACATCAAACCATTTCTTCAATAAAGCAAATGAGTTTTAGAATGTCATCCATTTTTGGGGGTGTGGGATGGGTCAGTATCAGGGGAGTGCCTACCAGACAGTCATGAGAACAAGATCTCAGCAGCCACTTCATAGCCGGCCGTGCTGAAATAAATGCCTAGAACTCTAGCCCCAAAGGGTCAGATGCCTTCTAGATACCATGACTTCACAGGGGCATGCACTTGTACAAACATGGATGCATATGCTCAAGAGTGAGTGCACACACACACACACACACACACACACACACACACACAACACACACACTAAAATCTAAAACCTACCATTTGTTTAGACTATATCTTATCTTGGTTTATGACTCCACATTCTATAGTACAAAACAAAAGGAAATTTTGGCAGAATTCCATTTTTACCACACAGCTATTGAATACAAACCAACTTAAACACATAATCACATGCAGTATATCTCTAGTCAAATTACTTAATCTGAATGTAACAAACCAATTAGTCACATACACCTCCCTCCCAAATATGGCCTGAACTAAATAAAAAACATGTCAGTGTCACAAAAGAAAAACAAAGGCAGGATGGGACACGATTAGATAAAGAACTTGGGTGCCTAGGAGTCTTGGACCAAAGAAATAATTTAATGAAAATTAGACATGTTTGGGACACTGGGACAACCCGCTCTGTATACAGAAATACAGTGTCAGAAACAAACTTCCTGCAAGTGATATTGTTATGGTTATACAAAGTACCCTTGATGTTAGAAGAAAGATGCTGTTTGCAACTGATCTTCAAATGATGCCAAAAACAAAACAGCAAGTAGGAGAAAACACACTAACAACAGCAAAAGACTCAAAGCGCAGATGGGAGTGAGTTCTGGCTGGCCAAGGGTATATTAGTGGTTAGCATTCTGTTTCAACCTTTTGTGAATTTTTCAAAGTACTAAGAGACCGAAGGGAAACCCACATGAATAAAACCAAATACAAAGTTGGCAAATAATGAAAAAGTGTATGAATTTTTCATTAATAAGATTATATATCCCCTCAGCCCAGGTTTCTAAACTCAGATACATTCTTTATGTTTTAATATTGAGGTATTACTTATTTATATTTTAAAAGAATTACCCTAAATTTTATTTTTTAAGTAAAAACTTTATTATGAAGAACTTGCAAATAAAAACATTAAATTAAGTAGACTTAACTATGGGATTAAAATATCTTGCTACAGAATTTCCTTTGGGTAAATAGATGAAAATACTGCTGGAAAAGATGATTGAACTAAATTCAAGTCCACCCAGATCAGAAAAGAAAATGGTTTGCGTGCTTTCAAGAGTATGACTATTATGTGAAATCACAGGTGACTTTCTTTATGTGACTCTTCAGAGCGGAACATGCACAGCTAATAGATGTTACGGTCCCCATCCCATCACACAGTCCAGCTACACCTCTCACAGGGAAGCGGATAAAGCAGTTAGGACTTGGCTCCAGAAACATCTCTGCAGTACTCTAGGGAAAGGTACTGTTTAGGGGTAAGGTGGGGCGCAATAAACACCACACTTGGCAAGAGAGGTGAAGTTCAGACTGTCATCAAAGAAACTTGATCTATCCTGTGCTCACTCACTTCCCTACAGAATTTTAGGCAAAGTTATACAACTGGGTTACAACACTGCTTTGTTGCAACAAACCTAGATAAAGAACCCTGGCAGACTCTCCATTGGAAAGGTGTAAGTACAACATACATCCTCACGTGTTCAAAGCACACTGACAGTCTTCCCTGTGCTGGCAGAGGTATGGACAACTGTACATTCATCCCACAAGAAAGAAGAAATGTGAAGGTCATTTTATGGACTCATTTGAATATTAACTAGAAAGAATATCACCATAACCTGGGCTGCTGATATACATTTATGTATTATCCATTAAATTCATGAAAAATATGTCTTTAGAGAAAAGACTTTAAGAGTTTATTTTTATTCATTTGTCTCTGTGTGTATATGATTTGTATGAATGTGCTCTCAAGAGGCCATAAGAGGGTATTGGATCCCCGGGAGTTGGAATTACGGGTGATGTGGGTGCTGAGAACTGAACTCAGACCCTCTGCAAGGATAGAAAATCATCCCAACTAATGAGCCAAGTCTCTAGCTCCTAGAATCATCAATGCTTGGTCATACTCTGAGCTGTAAAAGCCGTCTGCTAGCATACACTTCCACCATGACGTGTTCTTAGGGAATAGATGCCATTCTGTCCCATCAATAACCCCTACCACACAGAGAAAGAGAACATTCAGTTAATGGTCCATCTCCCCAGTCATTTTCTTCTATTCCCTATGACTTCAAGGATGTCAAGAACATACATGAACACAAATGTCATGAACCACCATGCCCTTGGCAATGAGGCATCTCAAATGTCTAGGGCTATGGCACAGTGGCGCAATGCTTATCACAGAACAGCAGGCCACTCACCTTGTCGATGGAAACCACCAGAGCTGGTTCCACTTTAGCTTCAATTTCTTCTGGTCCATAGTAACAGTGGAGTTTACCCCCTCTCAGAGCACAGTACAGCCTTCTCCAGCCAACCAGACCTTTTACTGTTTGCTGGGAAAGGGAAAAAAAAGTCAAGAAACCATCAATCTCAATCACTATCACCTTAGTTCTAAACCCAGCTCAGTATTTACATAACCAGTTAAGGCTTTAGAACTTTTAAAATGAGACAGAATCCACCATTCATTGGCTCGACGGTAAGCCTGAGTACTCCAAATCCAAGAGCAGGGAAGCCTGGAATTCTCAGAAGCATTAGGCAAAATGAAGGTAATTATTACCACACAATTTTATACATGCAAAATCATAAATCAACACAGATTTGGGAAAGCTAGTCTATTAAAATCTAGTGCTTAGAATTATACATCAATTCATCAAAGGACTCAGGGAAATTATAAAAATAACTCTTTCTACACTGAAAATAATTTCCCTTCACTCCTTTCAGAACACTAGAAAACCTGGTAAGAATGCAAATTTTCTTTCCTCCTAATGGAATCTTTCAAGAAAAAAGCTATTGATTCATTGAAGCCCACAATTAATTATTTACTGAACATAAATAACTATGGCTATAAATAAATCAGCAGTAGATGGCACAGAGGCAGCTTTGGAAGCCCAGTGGCCCAAACTGTGCCAAATGCTGTCTGCCAGAAGGGCTTTTATGTGAAAGGTGCTGGGCAGCCACAGTCAGTTTCCATAAGACAACTGCTGCCACGATCCTGTGCCTGTGGGACGGAGAACCGGGGGAAGGGAAGAGGCAGCCCCACAGCGAGCCAGACTGCAGCCGGCCCTCTCCCCTAGCCACTCTTCCCACCCCACACCTTCCCAAGCTCATGTCCAGTAATATTAAAAACGCTAACACTCCCAGCAAGGCCACTGGAGAAAATGCCTGAGAGAGTTGGACCTCCACAGCTGAAGGATACACGAAGTCCTCTACCTGCTCATTAAGGAATCCCGCAAATTCATCTTCAGTCATACAAGCTGGCTGGGCCACTAACCGGCAGCACACGTTGCCATACAAGGGAAGCCAAAAGGAACAGTCCTCTGTTTAAAGAAGAAAGGGAGGGAAAAAAAAGTTACAAATACATGTTTAAGGTTGTTACACATTCCAGAATTTTCCTTTTTATGGTTTTTTTTCTTCACGCAATACAGATCTAAAAAGTAATTGTATATAAAGGCTCATCTACCTAAATTCCGATGGCATACTAAAGGACATGAAGAGCATGTGGAGAAGTCAGGGCTGGCTCAGACCAACAATGTGGTCAACCAGAAGAAGAGTGGTCTTCAGTCTCTTGACTTCAGAGGCAATGGTTCAAGGGAATTTTTCAGTTTGATAGAAAATGGTCTAATAAAGTGACTTGTGTTCACCAAATTTTACTCCTTGCGCTAATTTCAATTACAATTAGCAAGGCGTGCCTCTCAGTGGGACATCGTTTCACCCCAGTTAAGGCACTTGAACCCTTCATCCCCACTTCTCTCCCTTCCCCTGCTGGACAATAATCACAAGCCACGAGATGCAGTCTCTAGTACGAGCCTGTGTGTGATGGTAGTGAAGCAACCGTGGCGATGGCATCACAACTGGGTGGTGGCATCAAGCAGGATGGAGAGGGACAGGAGGAGTGGGGAAGGGAGGAGGGGAAGGAGGACGGCCAGCATAAGGCATCCGCCAAGAGCTTCAGGGGTGTTCACACCAAGGCAGAGCTTAGACAGGTCTGCCTGGCCTAGAAAGAGCAGAATGAGAAGGGTGTACACGCCACGAAGGTAGCCAGATGTCAGGAGTCACAACCAAGCCGAATGAAGAGAGTGGCTATGTTCCAAGGGTGGCCCAGCCATTGGGAGCAATGAGAAGACACCACGAAGTAGCAACTGACCAGTATGGGAGCACTAAGGGAGAAAGTGCTTCAAGAAAGGCCTTAACCATGATGCGAAGCCTCTTGAATGCTCCCTGTGGCTACATCTGCACCAAGTGCAACTTCAAAGTGAACAAGGTTGCTGTCACATTGCATTGCAATGCTCTGACTGACAGGAAAGGCACAAGCCCTCAAGAGGCAGAGAGCAAGGCCATGAAGACATATTCAAGTTACATAATGAGCCAGCATCCGGCAAACACAAAGGAGAGCATCCTACACAACAACCAGCAGTTCTCTCTAAAAATGCCAAGTTGGTGACAGTCAAGAGGGAGACTTGGAGGCACGGCATAACCTTGAACAGAGCATCACTGCAGCAGGACAAGCAGCATGGAGTTTGCACATTAGAAAGGGCCTCACTCGCCGAGGCAGGTGCTGCTGGTGATACAGCCAAATGGCTCAATGGTACTTAATACATGTTAAGATTCTTGGGGTTGGTAAAGCATGCTATAAGCAACTTGTTATTACCATATGTTTGTGTGGGGGTAAGATCTTGACAATGAACTTGCAAGTTTCTTGTTAAGTTTGAGATTATTTTTAAACGTTCTTTCCAAAAAGGGGGAAAAAAAAAGTCCACATGATGGCATTCCTTCAATGTAGGATGCAGTGTAGCAGTAGGCATATATCCCTCCTACCCATATACAAGGAAAACACTGGCTAATTAATTCTGTACACCAGGCTGTAAACAGATATCCAGTACATGCCCTCACCTCAGGCTGTTCCAAATGGAAAAGGATTTTAGAACATTCACTGCATTCTGATAGCTAGTTGTTGGCTGCAATTATTGTTTATTTACTCAAAGCCTTAGGAACAAGGAAAAGAAAATACTGGTTTGGGTAAGAGTACAGTTACTTAGTGTTGTAGTTTGCTTTCCATTTCTGTGATAAATGTCATGACCAAAAGCAATTCAGAGAGGAAAGGCTCGTTTCAGCTCACACTTCTGGGCCCTTCATTGAGGGGAGGCAGGGGAGGAACTCAGGGCAGGAGGGATGCTGCTTACCAGCTTGTTCTCTGGCTTCTGCTCAGCTAGGGGTTTCTTATACAGCTCAGAGCCACCTGCCTAGTGGTCAAACCTTCCTACAGCTTTACAAACATGCCCACTGGCAGTTCTTCACTGAGGTTCTCTCTCTCTTCCTGGGTCCCCCAAGATGGTATTGGAAACCAACCAGGGTACTGAGCATATACTAAGATATACAGTAGCCAAAGTTTAGTTGGCTCAAGAGGGGAACCCAGTCTAAATAAAGAGCACAAACTAAAACCAAAATTCTTCAACAACTTCCCCATGCCTCAGCCTACTATAGACTACCACATACCATAGCTTCTGGGACTAATCCAATCTGTTTTTATTAAGGCCTTAGTAAAGGTGACCTAGTAGGATACACACATCTACACAAAACACAGTGATTCCAAAGTACAGACACAAAGCAACAAGCAGTAAACAAAATAAAAACTCTATACTGCCAAGTGTCTGAGTGGCACATAAATTTCTTTTATATAGGAATTTCAAATTTATGAATGGCTTGTGTTGTAAATATCTGTAAGTTGCTTATTTTTTAAGTTAGAATGTAATTCCTCAAGACACAGAATCATAAATGATTAGATTCTCAGACAAGTCCATAAAGTTTATGCAATCAATAATGTATTTGAACCCAACACACCACATAATAATGTACATCTTGTAAAATGAGCTCAGATTTCATGTGAGGGAGCAGATTTCCTGCAGCATCCTGGAGAGGGGATGCTGGAAGCACAATCCCTTCCTGTAGCATCCTTGAGAGGGGATGCTGGATGCAGAATTCCTTCCTGCAGCATCCTTGGATGCAGATGTTGGGTCCCCAGCTCCTCATACTCAGCCATCACTTGCTACTTCTTAACCTAGGCTTTTATAGCTCCAGACTACTGAGGAATAGAACAGACACAGCTTCTCTATGCCTCTCACAAGTAACAGAGCTTCCAGGCCACTCACTTAACATCTGAGCATTAATTTCTACACTTAAAAACACCACATGTCTTAGGCAGAGTTGTTATGTGTATAATACATTTGGCATCAACCATGAGCCTGGCTCATTCCAACTGCCTCTCTGATCATATCCCAGGACAGCCTCACTCCCACAGTCCACTCTGTCCATGTCTCAAGGCCACTCTCAATCTTCGTGCTCAAAACATTTGTCAAAATAATACTTAATCATTCCTTTCTAACCAAGGGGCACGTGAGGACAGAATGGACAGGAAATGAGAGTGCCAACTACGTCCCATAAGACTGGCTTTCAAAAGTCCCAGCCCCCTTCACCCCCCAAAAAAAAAGCCTTCCTAAAAGAAACTCTAAGGACTGTGTTTTAAGAAAGGAAGCAATCCCAAATTCAAGATATGGAAATCAAGTAGTCCCTCAGAACATGGGGTAAGACTGGGTCAACAGTCAAAGCCAAAAGTATCCCATGAAATTCAAAAACAAACAGAATTATGTTCCACATCAAGAATACACCGATTAACGCAATAGAGTCTAACTGTTCTAAAGTTTTTACACTGTCTGGGAAAAAGAGAAAACAAGCTCTTACTGTTTGCTTTGGTGATTACAATTTAAGGGTAATTTCTAAGCTATTACAACATAATGTATAATTTTACCAACAGAGGAAAATTTGAATGATAAAAGTAATTACCCCTTGTTTGAAGAGGCAGGCCTATAATATAAAAAAATGTATATTTTGAAGGAAAAATAAAAACACAATCTAAAAATTATGTGCATTAAATAACAAAGGCTCAAATTAGACAAAGCCGCAAAAACTAGAATGCAAAACTTGATTTGTTCATACCTCCTGTCACATAGCCTATGTAAATCTAGCATTATTTCTAACAAATAATTAGCATGCTAATGAATAAGGCTGACAGGCCTATTTCAGCAATGAGCATTGAAACTGAGAAGATGAAAAGAAGTCAGTATGATAAATAGTCTGGGGGCAGACAATACTGTAGGGGCCATGTGATACAGAGTAGTGAGGGAGATTCCACGTTCGTAAAACTCACATTCAGACCAAGTCCACGTGGACCTACAAAAATACTTTTTTTGGAAATGACTCAAAGACACAGGAAAGCAGAGCTACTTGAAGACAACTCAGCGTGGGAGTGTATCAGGGTACGCCGAGGAGGAGCAAACGCCCGCCACTAAGAGGGCTTAACACCTCCATCTACACATGTTCCAAATCCCAGCATCTGGGCAAGGACATACATATGGCAGAGCTATAAAAGACCAGTAGGGAAGCTAAGGCCACCAAGGTTGGGACATCCACACCCAGGGTTCCCAGGGGTCGTGGTCATCAGTGAAGATAGGTGTGGAGAAAGTCTCCTTAAATGGTTAAATTATGTGTTTTACAGCCCATCACCTTCCCTTTATTTTTAGCAAATTTGATTATAACTTTAAAACGTCACCATGAAATCACCTGTCCCATTAACATCGGGGCCTCTGATCTTTACAGCAGTAAGCATGAAGTGGGAGCCATACATACATGTTCATACCCATTCCCCTAGAAAATGGATGAGTGCAGGACTCAATTCCTGCCACCGAGCTCCTTGCCCAGCACTGCCCGGGGACAGCTGGCAATGTCCCACCTTCCCTACCAGCTAAGCTTCTTAGATGCTTTCCCATAGATTCCTTTCAGAAAAAAAAAATGAAATTAGAATTATTATTCAGGCAGAGAAGAGAGGAGTTAAAATGAACATAGCCCTGTCTCCTTTGTGTCCTCACTTTCTACCAACAGAAGGGGTGGCATGTCCTGACTTTTAACTTTAAAACCAGACCCATCTGACTGTCAGTGAGCAGAGCGGAAAATCACCAATTCTGAGTCACAAGATAAGGACATGGAATACTTCAGTAAATCGGGGCCAGCAAAACAACAACAAACAAACAAAACACTTTACTTTTCTCCTCTGGGGAAGAGAGACACACGTTAGAAAAAACCCAGACTCATCCATGTGTATATTTTTAAAGCCAATATCCCCTCTAGGGGAACATGCTAAAATTAGAAATTACTGCCACCACGTGCACAGACCTAATAAACATGATAAATAACATGCAGAACACTCACCGTCTCCATGAACAGACAGATTGTGAGTCTTGAAGCAGTCCCCAGCACTTTCCAAGGTCAGGGTGGTGTGAGCTAGCAAATGGTACTTTGTACCCCTAAGAATGAGATAGAAGGTATCTTAGATGTCCTTACATGCTGTATTGATGAGATAAACTATTCAAATGTCCAAGAAAATCAAAATAAAAATAACAAACAACCTGATCTTAAAAAAAAAAAAATAGGGCAAATAGTTCAGACAACATTTTTCTAAAAACACACGAGGCCCCAAACAGTAGCAAAGCCATGTGGAACATTTCTGGTATAAGTTAATCACAAAAAAGTACCATCTAACATCTACTACTAGACAAAATGACCACCAGTGGAAAGAAATCTAGGGCTGTGGGTACAGAACAGAAGGAGTGCTGGCTGGGTGAGGAGGATCTAGAACCCTGCAGAGCTGCCAAGGGGAGCATGAGGTGGCAACTACTAAGGAGGACAGTGCAGATGAAAATAAATAAGAGAGTACCATGTTCACAAAGGCATTATTTACAAGACCTGAAAGCTTAAAAAACACAGGTGTCCATTTGATGTTCTTCTGTTGGTTTAGCAGCTGCTAATGTTAGTGAATCTTCTAACATTTTAATTATCATCTGCCTCCCCATGACCCCTCAGTCAGCACCCTGCTGGCCACTCAGGCTGTAGCCTGGTGAGGGTTTGGGTCCTGCAACCCTGCTCTACCATGGCTGTGACATATGAAGGTTTCTGAAGCTTTTACTTTTCTATTTATAAATAAGACTCGGGAGTCAAAGGCTGGGGTAAAAACCTGCTAGCTCAGAGAGGTTAAGTAGCAACTAGCTTTTTGGCTTCAACACCACAAGAGACACGTCTCTTCCCTCATCCTCAACCCAAGAGAGCTCAAACTCTAGTCCTCACCCTATCCTTTCTGTGAACCTTCTCTATTCAAATTGCTGGTTTCTCTATGGCCATTTTCCATCTAGGTATGGATAAACAGTCATCTACCTACTTAACTGGCTATCTATCTACCAAGCATCTATCTATAGATTGTAAAGGATTATCCAACCTTCAAAAGGAAGCAAATTCTGACACATTCTACACACAACATGAATATCCTGTGAAAAAGTTGTGCTAAATAAAATATTTCTGCCATAGAAGGACAAATCTCATATGACTTCACTCATACCAAGCAATTGAAGTGGTCAAATCCTTAGGAAATAGAACAGTGGTTATGCAAGGCTGAGTAGGGAAAAGTGAAGGGGGGCAGAGAAAAAGGAAGAAGGGAGGGAGGGAGGGAGTGCTGAATGGGTGCAGAATTTCAGCTCAAGAAGATAAGACAGTTGCAGAGATGGCTGGTAGGAATGGCCATTCAGGACAGCAAAGTAAACATACTTTATACCCCTGAACTGTGTTCTCAAAAACTGTTTTAAAAAAAGTCAATTTAACTTTCATACATTCTGCCATAATAAAAACCTTTAGCTGTACAAGACACCCATGGACACTCCATGACCTCAGCACTTGGGAGCAGACTCAAAGGCCATGATTCTGGACTTCATAGCAAGACCCTATCTCAGGGTCTTCCCATCCTCAAATTTATATATCACGGATGACGGATTTATAGTCAGCACACATTATTAACCAATTTAGCATCTTATCACCTCGTAGTTTGGCAATTAAAAAAAATATGTGAGCTTTTTATAACACAAATGTTTCAATGAAGGGTCTCTGTTTGTTCTAAACATGTTTATATCATCCCGATAATGTGCTAAGTCTTGTGCTAGGTGATGGGCATTCAGTTGCAAATAAGATCCAGTGTTATATTCTGATACAGGCAGGAGAGGAAAAAGGAGCAAACAGCAACAAGCATAAACATATAAAACACCAGGAACTTCTTCTGGTGGTGATAAAACCTCTGCTGTGACAGGAACAGAGTGGGTGAGAAGTGCTATGCTAAGGAGGTAGAGAAAGTGTCTCTGAAGAAGAGGTACTTATATAGTTACAAAGAGAACCCAGGGCTGCAGAGAGAGCTCCATAGCTAAATGACTTGGCTTTCTAGCATGAGGATCCATGTAAAAACCAAGTGGCATACCCTTGTACACTCAACACCGGGTAGTAGACATGGGTGGATCCCTGGAGGTCATTGGCCAGTCATGCTACCTGAATGGGTGAGCTCCAGATTGAGTGACAAACACCCCCAAATGAGGTGAAGAGTGGTCAAGGAAGACACTCAGTATTGACCTTTGACTATGACAAGTGCACAAAGCACACACATACACACTCCAGATCTGGCTGAGCGAATGATTCGAGACACTCTGAGGAGACATGGCCTGTGCAGAAAGAGCTGGGAAAACAACAACTAACTACAAAGCAAAGATAGAGTTTAAGTGTGGCTGGTACTCATGGAGTGGCCTGAGGTTGGAAATGCAGGTAGAGATCAGAAGACAGTGGGCTTCATGAGCCCTAGAAGAAGAGTGGGTTGAAAGTCTATGTATGAGGAAAGGGAAATCACAGCAAGTGGAAAGGTAGGTAGTGAAACCCAGAATTACTGGGGACTTCCCAGGGCAAGATCTGATAACCATCCACCTTGACCAAACCCTAGCCAGGGTTCTCTCAGCCTTCTACTGAACTAGGCCCCAACCTGGGCCTATGTAGAACTCAACACCAATAGTCTAAGAGCTCAAGGTCTGAGGCTGAGGAAACTCATGGCTGTGTAAAGAACTTCCCATTGGTCCCTATCTCCCAGTCTGTTTGGACAGCCTAACTTGCTGATGTCCCCCCCTGGCGAGCCCAGGTAAGCTGCACCCAGACCCACTCAGGATTCACCCTGTGGCTGCTTGGCATTTCTATTTCCAGGACTCTGAGCCCTACCTCATCTTCTCAGGCCTCCTGCCCCCTTTCTTTTAGTTTCTCTTTAAAACACCTCAATGCAAACAAAAGTGGGGCATCGTCCTTACCAGCCTCTGTTCACCATGCAAGAGTTCACTGTTAGCATCTGCCTTGACCACTTTGTTTCCTGCCAACTTTGTCTGACAATGCAACCTCCTTACGGTTGTGAGCTTGAAAGGTCTGGAGTTGCTACCCACAGTGTGGGGAGCAGAGGCTATCACTTCTCACTAGAAGTGACTAGAGCACACTTGCTGGAATTTTTGGACATTCTGGAGATGAAATTTGTATCTTGGTAGTTAATGGTTATAAACACTGAATTCGGGGCTGAGATCATGTAGCTCAGTGGTAAAGTGCTTGCCTAGTATGTGAGACCCAAAGTTCAATGTGTAGAATAGAACAAAAAAAAATCTGTTCATAAATAACTGCATTTTCTATGCATGTCAGTAACCTTACTTTTATCAGTTTCCATGGTTTTATTATTTTTCTCTCGAAACACAGAGGAGTAAGTTAAAGGTACACGTATGCACACACAGACACAGGCCAACTCTGGGGTAAAGACAGGTGTGACAGGAATTTTCATTCACTGTTCCAGGTGATGTTTCACAAACTTACTTCCCACTACATCTTTAATGGGATCTCTATGATAAAATAATACACAGGTTGGGTAGTGGTGGTGCACACCTTTAATCCCAGCACTGGTGAGGCAGAGGCAGATGGATCTCCATGAGTTTGAGGCCAGTCTAGTCTACAAAGAGAGTTCCAGGACAGCCAAAACTAAACAGTGAAACCCTGCCTCAGAAAATACACACACACACACACACACACACACACACACACACACACACACACACACACACACACTTAGCATGCAGATAGGCATTCTTTAATGGATTCTCTACAATATAAAATATACACACACAGCATGCATACAGGTACACATGTACTTCCACCAAAATAAAAGTATGTTCCAGAGAATGTTTTCCAGTAAAATCTCTTTTTTAAAAAATTATATTTTAAGTTTAATGCGTGTATTTTGCCCACATGTACGTTTGTGAAATGTGTGTGCGCCTGGTGCCCATGGAGGCCAGAAGAGGGCATCAGATCTCCTGGAGCTAGAGTTGTAGATGTTGTGAGAAGCCATGTGGGTGCTGGGCATTGAACCCAGGTTAATGCTTCTGTAGGAAAACTCTTATTTTTATCTCTATATTTCAACCTGAAACTTTTAAGAAAGTGAGGCATGAGTACAATTTCAGCTAGTGTGAGCAGCTGCTGGGACGTGAGGCTTGCACACTTTTGCACAAGGCCCCTGAGAATCCCATCACCACTCCCTCATGCTCGGTGTGAGCTGCCCTCTTAACACTGTCTGCTTCATGTGGGCTACCCTCAGCTAGCACTGACTCACACTGTGCATGTTCCCACAGAGCCTTTCATAATTAGCTTTTATTTTCTCCTAGAATCTATGTGAGCGTCCCCTACCCCTGCAAAACTGAGGACATATTGGAGAAAACTGGAGACTGGCAGAGTAACCGAAGATCACAGTCACAAGGAGAGAGCTAATAGCACACAAAGCTGCCTGTTAATACGACACCAGCTGCATGGTAACAAGGTATAATAAATATACGGAGCACTCTCCCCAGATGCTCATCTGTTTTATGGGCCTACATTTTTGAAAACTATAAGTGTTTTAAATTGATAAAGCATTATCATTTTCCCTTGTGAAAGAAAAAGAAACAGACTTCCTATCCGTGATTGAGTGCAGAATGTGCTGTCTTTGGGAAAAAGATTGCTGACAATGAGGTGAAGTTGTCTGCGTTTGTCGTGGAGGCTGCAACAGTAAGCAATGAAGAGTGGAGGCCTGCTCTCTTACAAGCAAAGGACAACGGAAAACCGTGTCATCATATTAGGTAGGGGAGGCCAAAGGGGGGCAAAGAAGGAGGATTTAGGTGAAGAGAGGTCACTTCAGGTGAGCAGGAGAGAGGAACACCTGAATGGAAGCAGGAGCCGTGAACAGGGAAGGAAAGGCTATGGGAGCATTGGCCAGGCGTGGCTCGAACACACAGGAGGTGCTGCGGCCATACTGCAGTGAGGGAGAAGGGCAGATATCCAAGGCCAGCAAGGAGCAGAAGATACACACATCTCTAACTGGAGGGCAGGATAGAGACACACAGTTGTTCTCTGAGTGATACCTAGAGAATGGTGGGTTTCAGGTAGAGGC